GTTAACTTCAGCAAGTTGGTTTTCGTAATTGATGGAGAGTGGGAGCATTTGTCAGATAGTTCACAGACTATGTCTGAGACACGCTTGGACTGAAAGATGGAGCCGTAAAATGTATCCAGAAGAAATTCTGTGTCTATACATTCTTTGGAATGTATAATCTATCCAAAAAAAACATTGGATAGGATTTCACTTGAACCAAAAAAGGTATTTTAGGGTAAATGCGCAATCAGCTTAGGTTTGGGGATCGTATAGTTAGTTACTACTAGTAACTACTATTTACTTGTTAGTTACTACTAGTAACTACTTTTTACTTGTTAGTTACTACTAGTAACTACTATTTACTTGTTAGTTACAACTAGTAACTACTATTTACTTGTTAGTTACTACTAGTAACTACTACTAACTACTATTTACTAGCTAGTTACTAATAGGGAAGAAATAAAATTGGAAATAAACTTAAGATTAAAATATAATTCAGTTTCGGATTTACAAGAGAAATCATCTTAAGAATAAACAGAGAAATTATTGCCGAGTTTACTAGAGAAATCACCATAAGATTAAACAGAGAAATTAGTTCAAGGTTTACAAGAGAAATCAGCTTCAGATTAAACAGAGAAATTAGTTCAGGGTTTACAAGAGAAATCATCTTCAGATTAAACTGAGAAATGAGTTCAGGGTTTACAAGAGAAATCATCTTAAGATTAAACAGAGAAATTATTGCCGGGTTTAGAAGAGAAATCATCTTATGATAAAACAGAGAAATTAATTCAGGGTTTGCAAGATAAATCATCTTAAGAATAAACAGAGAAATTAGTTCAGGGTTTACAAGAGAAATCAGCTTAAGATTAAACAGAGAAATGAGTTCAGGGTTTACAAGAGAAATCAGCTTAAGATTAAACAGAGAAATTATTGCCGGGTCTAGAAGAGAAATCATCTTATGATAAAACAGAGAAATTAATTCAGGGTTTACAAGATAAATCATCTTAAGAATAAACAGAGAAATTATTGCCTGGTTTACAAGAGAAATCATCTTAAGATTAAACAGAGAAATTAGTTCAGGGTTTACAAGAGAAATCAGCTTAAGATTAAACAGAGAAAATTAATTCAGGGTTTACAAGAGAAATCAGCCTAAGATTAAACTGAGAGATCAGTTCAGGGTTTACAAGAGAAATCATCTTAAGATTAAACTGAGAAATTATTGCCGGGTTTAGAAGAGAAATCATCCTAAGATTAAACAGAGAAATTAGTTCAGAGTTTACAAGAGAAATCATCTTAAGATTAAACAGAGAAATTAGTTCAGGGTTTACAAGAGAAATCATCTTAAGATTAAACTGAGAGATCAGTTCAGGGTTTACAAGAGAAATCATCTTAAGATTAAACTGAGAAATTATTGCCGGGTTTAGAAGAGAAATCATCCTAAGATTAAACAGAGAAATTAGTTCAGGGTTTACAAGAGAAATCATCTTAAGATTAAACTGAGAGATCAGTTAAGGGTTTACAAGAGAAATCATCTTCAAGGGAAGTCCTATCCAATGGTTCAAGGGAAATTCTATCTAACGGATCAAGGTAAACTTTATCTGACGGTTTAAGGGAAATCCTATTCAATGGTTCAATGTTAAATCTATCTAACTACCCTGAAGTCTGATTTTTTGTTGTGAACCTTGGAACTGAGCATTGATTTCCATGATAAGTTTACCCTACTGGAGTAACTTTAATTAAGGCCTCAACTTTAAAATTGCCAACATTTAATTTCTAGATCAAGCGCTCAATATTAACAAAAGTTCCAATCTCTCAACTTATGTCTCCCTTAAAATGAACTGATTTATATTCTTATTCTTAAAAATGTTCATAAAATCCGAGATTATCTAAATCGTAATCTATTTACTTTTCTAATCATTATTGAGATGGCAAGGAACTGATCACTCGTTTCAAACTAATCTTCTAACTCCTGTATCTTTACAAACTGATGGTATAGCACGCTAAACCCTTGGGCAAACTTTGGCTACTTTTGATCTAATAGAATTCATAATTTTAAAGGGAGTGACCGGTTATGTAAGGTAGTTGAACTGAGTATGCAGTGTTGTGGAAAACTTCTTTCTGATTCATAGACGTCACGTTATAGGAACATGTTGAGAAAATAAAAATTAATCTTATCATCGAAAATAAGTAATCTTGTTCAATTATTAGTTTCTATTTTCTCATTATTCTCAAAGATTTTCTGCAATTAATATTGAGAAGACGACATTTGAAGAATTTGAAGAAATCTGCGAATAAATTCAAAGAAAATAAGAAATTCCATATAATAATGAAAACGAAATAATCGATTTTAGCATTGATTTATTGACAAATTTCTTTTGAGAAATATGTTCCTAACCATCCAATTAGATTTACTTTATATTTTTTACTTTATTTTTCGATGTCGTTGTTTAATAATTAAAAAAAAAAAACTAATTCTGAAAACGTATCCACCCCCAAAGTAGGAGTTTTGAACCACGCATATGCGCTCAAACTCAGGATATACAGATCTTTTAAAAGTTTAATATGTCTCAAATGAATCCGAAAGAAGTTTTCCACAACACTGCATACTCCGTTCAATTACCTTACATAGCCGGTCACTCCCTTTAATGTTAAAGGTTTACAACATCATTTAGTTTAAAACGATATATGGATTTAAAACTAAAAGTTTAAGACAAGTAATCAGGTCCTTTCCCCTCTAATATTGAACTGTTTTCTTCCTTAGACCTTGAACCGATTTCTTCTTTCAGTCCTCAATTGATTTCTCCTCTAAACTTTGATTTATCCTAATTACTAAGCACTTATCAACGCTGCATGAACTTTTGGCTTTTGAGCCAAAACATTGTTTCCATCGTACAGGATGATTATGATGAATATTGATTCAGGAATTTTGGGATTAATCTATAATATTTACATGAAAAAAAAACGTAGAAAATAAATATTCAAACACTTATTGAAATTTTGCGGTTTAAAAAATTGAAAATACAAATAATATAAAATCGCTCAGAAATAAAAAGCCGTCATATCATTTTTAATTCATCCTGTATCTTAATCAATGTATTATCTTATGTTG